GACTGCGAGCCACGCCCGCTGCGGAGCTTGTAGAAAGTTCTTTTGGGCAAACAACGTCGGCTTTATTAGCCTGATAGCTGTTGTTAACAGGCGCTGAGCGGTGACTTTTGCTGGGATCTTGTAGGGGACTTGGAAAGCTTCGTGGGGGTCCACGCGATGTCCGGAATCATAAATGTGCGCTAGGATAGAGCACCTTCCCATATAAATGTACTGGCCTGACGAGAAAATTCATCGAAAGTTCTACGTACGTACGCTCGCCAAAATAGTCTTCTTTTGTGCACGTTTGTCAAATTCGTGGCTTGATCTCCGTGTGGCTTAAGCCCGCTCATCTACGCTTGCCTGCACACATCAGGCGTTCGTACGTTGCACCGCTCACCAGGTAAGCAAACGATCTCCACACATCACTGAGCACACACGCACACACAAGCAGTCCGCTACCCGGTGAGTCAGTCAGAGGGTTGCTTGTGCAACAGAGAGAAGACTGCTAAAGTGGCTGCAATGGCAGAAGCGCCTACGCCTGCATACCAGCATCCGCAAAGCCGCAAACTCACACAGTTGGCACTGGGGAGTCATACCGATCAACGAAGGCCAAAACAGCCCTAAACCACTGTGGGTTTTAATCCACGATCAGCCTGCGCGCGTGTGTGTGTCGGGCTGTTTAATAAGCTTCGCTCCTTTACTGCAACATATTTAAACTTACTACCTCCACTGACTTTTTTGCAACAACGTTAAGCTTTTCTCCACTGTATAAGCCTTTTTAAAATCTATTTTCGTGTAAATCTTCTGACTTCTAGTCCATTTAGAGTCTTTAACTGGGATTTAGTTGGACGGACAAGGAATAACTTACTGCTATTAAGCATGCAGTCAGTAGTCTACAACATTAAATCATGACAGAATCTCTGAATCATGTTATCTGGTTACTTACGTCAATGGAAATTCTGAAACTTGTTTTCGATTCGAACTAAGTAATACTGATGATCAGGGAACCTAATTCCAAGTTACAAATTACTTAGGTAAAGGTATACAACTGACCATTTTCATCAAATACCCCTTAAACCTCCGCTACATTTTATTTATCCTCGTTATCGTTCGATTACCATTACAAAGTTCCTAATTGTGAGATGTTTTTACGACTGGGAAATGCTCATCCATAATACATCTTCACCTTTCTTTTAAAGTATGTAAAGTGGCCAAAGCCCATCGCAAAATTCTATAAGGCCGACGTGACCTCTTCCTCATTCCGTAAAGAAACGCGTAATTTTCTTTAGAAGGTATATAGCTTGTAGGTGGAAGTCGATAAACTCACTCAAAGGATCCGAACTAATTAGACTTATTCTGCACTTTAGAAATCTTTTTACATCAAAAGATACATCTTTCAAGTATAACATTTAGAGAAGGCGTAATTTATACGCAACTGAGTACAAGAAAGCATAGCTTTGTGCATGTTTTTCTAGAACCTACATTCCATTTTTGAAGGACAGTGAAAATAAATGCTAAAAATACATACTATTAAGTAGCCGTGTTCTGTAAACCTTCCTTTTTTGACAAATCCTTACCTAAACCGTAGTTAAAAATTAATGCAAATTACTGATTATCTAAATCTCAGAGCATATAGATTCTTCTAGAAAATACCATTTGAAACACTAGTTTCACCGTTGATACTGTTAGGTTTTGAGACTGCGGGAAATATGGGAGAATACGTGCCAGAGGTAAAAAAGACTAATATTTAAATTTCCGAAACAGACACTGTAGCCCATAACGACCGTATAAAACTGCTGCAAAGGAGGGGAACAGCTCTGATTTCGATGAAGTGAGAGTGCCATATAAGCCACCTTAAGCAGGAGACCTTGTAGCCTGACTGGCAATCCACCAGTCAGTCAGACAGCCACTTTACACACTGGACTGACCGCATGGCCCGATTTATCCCGTCAGTTGGCAACCTTTCAAACCACTGCGTTTAGCGCACCCTTACTGCCTCAAACACGTCAGGCTATTTATAGTGAGGAAAATGCGCCGAGTCGTCGACCCGACTCTCTTCCACCATTTCCAACATTATACCACCCTCTGAGCTGGTCAGTATTCCGATGTGCGAGGTGAGCGGAATGGCCGTCGGACTCGACGAACACGTTTGCGCGCGCCAAAGCATGACCTGGCTCTCATGGCATACACACCATGATTTACGGTTCATGATAACGGTTCATGGATCTGAAATGACTATTCTCGTATTCCATGACTTTGAAGGCAATCTTCTTCATCATGAATAGTCCACCAGCCGCACCAACCAGGAGACCGCATACCAGTCCGATTTGAACAACCTTCCACGTCAAGGTGTGCGCAGATATTTGCCCCAAGCCCAGATCAAAGACTGGTTTCACCCCCTCGACTGCGACTTTGGCAAAAGTTTCCATCCGCAACGACATGCTCGAGCATGAATTTGACAATTGAATGCGACTTTCCAAGATTTTGCAATTTATCATTTTGTATCTGTCATGGTTAATTGTCGGAAAACTGACAGCTGAAACATATGAAATTATGTTTGAGGCCTTTGGGCCGCGCATGTGCTTTGCCAAGCCTTGCCAACTAGGTTGCTGGCGACAACATGAAAATGCATGTGCAATTAATGTAATTTAATTATTAAGTAAATTAGACCTCATTATCTTAGAAAACGATATAACAGAAACTGTCCAACCAATTTGCTTCTTATTTAACAGAAAATACTTAAAAAAGGGGAGGATCGGGGCTGTTGGGCTGTTGGGCTGCATTTAATTACGCTGTCTAAGGGTACCTTGAATCCTAGGTAATGTAAATGCTTACCACTTATTCCCCTCTCTGCACCAGTAAAGCTTTGATGAAACCTCCTTCGCCTGTTTACTTTAGGAAAGAGGACCGCATAAAATGAGTCCTTATACTTATATTTCTTCTTCTTTTACTTGCTCATATTTATGTTTTCTTCTAAAAGGTCATAATCATAATCCACACCATGAACGCCGGCAGCTTCAACATAAGCATCACCAGGCCATCATTTTTCAGCAGTGAGTTGGCACGTTTGAGTAATTCTAAAAACATGTCCCGAACAAACAGGTGCATTAGAAAGAATACCCG